GTGTGTGTGTGTGTGTGTGTGTGTGTGTGTGTGTGTGTGTGTGTGTGTGGTGTTCTGGATAATTTCAGCCCTGCTAATAGATCAAAGCCTGCACCATAACCCAGCCTGTTATTATTCTGCATGTGGAATGTCTACTGTTGTCTGGGCCGCCATGTTCCCCGCCCTCCGTTCCCTGGGCCTGCCAGAGTAATGGGGTGTAAAGTGGCTCAAGCTCCGGGTGTCACTCTTTAGCTCGGGAACAGACAACACCTCCCTCCTCCCCGCACCTCATTAATCTCCTCCTCACTCGCACAGAGACGGCATGTAGGTTAGACAGAGACGGCTCCAACGCTTCACAGTGAAGAGCTGAGGGGACGTATCGATCATACATCGCCTCAGTCCTTCTGCAGGCCACATGGCTTCCCACCAGGAGCGGCTGCACTTTGTCTAAATAAATTACATGTCTCGATTCATTGCACGTGGACCAATGGATGAGAAGGGAAATTAATAAACAGTGGAGTGGTTCTGTGACGCTGTTCTTAGTCAGTGTTTACAGCAGAATATCTCCTCTTGACAATATAACTGAGGCTAATAATTCTGTGTTGTTTATCTCTAGTATGATGGAAGTGATGCATGATGTTTGAGTTACATTTAGTGTATTATTACTGCATTGGTTGTGCATGTGATGGCCTGAGCCTGAGGTTCTTGTGACGTATATGCAAGATGCGTATTAATGTCCAAAGCAGTAGTGACCAGCCTTTTTTGTCTGGCATACGCCCACATCCTTATTTGAAGTCACCACCCATCTTATTCCAAATGTGTTTATTTCTTTTGACGTTAAAGTGGACATCATTACAGTATTTTTTTTTTCATACAACTAAATTGTCAGTATCTTTAGATATGTGTGCATTGCTGCTGCTACGACTTGGAGTGACACAATCTGAATCTACTTGTAGCAAACTATTTCAACTGTTGAACTTGAACTATTTCAACTATTCCTGCATTACATTTGACTAACTTTTTCATGCATTACTTTAAGCTAACTTTTTCAGCTATTCACGCTAACATTAAGCTAACTTTTTCAACTATTCATGCTAACATTAAGCTAACTTTTTCAACTATTCATGCTAAC